GTTCTGTATTCCTTTTCAAAAAGATTTTATATTTTATATATATTAATAATATTTTATTTTTAAATTTTATATATATATATATATATGGGGGGGGATATGTACATGTATGAGTATTGGTGTTTGTGGTGTCCAGAACAAGGTGTGTATCCCTTGGAGCTGGAGTTACAGCCAGGTGTGAGCTGCCCAATGTGGGTGCTGAGAACAGAACTCAAGTCCTCTGCAAGAGCAGCAGGAAAGAGCCCCTAGCCTCTGAGGCCTCTCTCTAGCCTGTGGTAGGACTTTTTTTGGGCATACCTGAATGCACTAGATTTTTGATAATATTTTTTGGGGGGTCTTTTTGAGGTGGTCTTTCTGTAGCCCCAGCTGTCCTGGAACTCACTATGTAGACCAGACTGGCTTTGAACTCACAGAGATTTCCTGCCTCTGCCATGCAAGTGCTAGGACTACAGGTGTGTACCACCACGCCTGGCTTTTGACAATATTTTCTTAATACTACCTAATTCCACCATAGCCTGTTTTAGGTCTTAATTTATATTTTTTTCAAATTTTCCAGTTTATTTTTGCTATATCTTTACTTCTCTTAAATGAGTCTTAAAATGCAGTATGTCAAACAAGGATACAATTGTTTTGTTCAGAAGGTTATGCATTTAGCAATAGGAAATATCACCCATGGTGATATTTTTTGTTTAGTTCAGAAGGTTATGCACTTAGCAATAGGAATTATCACCCAATGCAGCTATTTATGACAATTTCTTGGTGTTTTGGAAGAAATTAGAAAACATAACAGATACCCCTCAAAGGAACTCAGATGACATTTTTAAATTCCTACTAGAAAATTATCTTCTGTTACTGATGGATGCAGTTAAGTTTCCATCTCTAATAATACTTGTTTTGCAATATGAACAAAACAAACAGGTTCAATAGCAAATTATGGAATATTTTATTGCTTTTTAATAATCGTAAATCCTGTGAAGAAAATTGAAATTCTTTCTTCAGCTTTTGCATAGCTCTCTAGCTCTCTCAGAAGGCCAGAGACCAGCTGCTCATCTCCTCTTTGGTAGTATGTGCACTGGAAAAGCTCCCTTCCTTTCCTTCCTCCACGCAGTGAGGCCAGTCCCCAAACACTCATCATTAACAGTGCTATATTTTTAGTACATTTTGGAAACTAAACATTTTTCTGACTTTTGCAAATTTTTATGTTCTTCCTGGGATATGAAATATGAAATATTCAATAGGCTGGGATGGAATAATGAAGCTGGTGCTTTTGTACTTACTCTCCTGGGTCTGCAGAACTTTAGGAAGGGAAAGTATTAAAGTCCCATCTGCTATTTTCTTGAGACAAGGTCTCCCTGTAACCCCAGATGGCCTGGAACTTGCCTTGGAGACCAGGTAGATAGCAGTCTTACAGAGATCTGCCTGCCTCTGCCTCCTAATTGCTGGAATTGAAGGCCTGACCACATTTACTCTTAATTTGTCCACAGAAACCTACAAATTACCCATTTTAGATGGATGATGTGATGCTATGACTATGTCATGCTCAGATCAGGCTAAACATATCCATTTTTGAAAACACTTATTTCCTTAGCATGAAAACTCTTGAAGTTCCTTCTTCGGCTTTATGAAGCACACAGCACATTTTTTTTTTTTTTCTGCAGCACACCAGAATTTATTTCTCTGAACTGTAACTCAGTACTTGTGGCCACTGCCATCTGCGGCTGCCTCTCCACTCTGCAGTGCTGGGTGCTGTCTCCAGGCGCCACCTGCGAGCACACAGGCACTGCCTCCTGGGCACCACCTCCGATCACAGAGGAGCCACCTGCAATTGCACAGGGGGCGCCTTCTGGGTACCACCCCTGATTGCACGGGCACTGCCCTTCGCTCCTCACTGTGGCAGCAAGCTGTGGTCACTCTGCAGCTCACTGCTGCCCTGTCTCCTATCATGGCTACTTCTACCTGGTCCAAGACCCCAGGGCTGGTGAGGAGACTGTGTCAGCAGAGCCACATTCAGAGACAGGAGACCATGTTCGTTGACATCAGATCTGGTTTATTGCAGAAGGGCACAAGCTTATATAGGGGCAGGGGTCCAGTCAAGAACTTACAACTCAGATCTTTGGTAGGGCTGTATCCTATCATGACATCATGAGTCAGACACCTTATTAGCATGATAGGTTTCAGGTTAATTAGGTTCTGGTTTCCTAAATGGGCCTGAATTCCTGGGAACCACGTGAACCAGGCTGTTGCAATATCTAAGAGTTGCAATTTGGAATCTCAAGGGTGGTAATTAGAGAGTGGTGAGCTCTAGGCATCAGTCTAATGATCTGCCAATGGGAGCAAATGTCACAAGGCATTCCTTGTGGCTCCAGTGGTTGCGCCGTTGCCTCAGGCCTGCTGTATGGCTGTCATTAAGACTTTCACCCTAGGCTCAAGTCTGTCTCCCACATCTCCCCCTTTCTTTCTCTTAAAATATTCTGTTTCTCACAGAAAGACTCATTGCTTTTGCTACTAACACTGAAATGTTGGCACATGCATCTCTAATCTGTATGTATCTGATTATTACTAGTCATAATCATTGCACTTGGATCCTTGGCACCTATGTATGTCTATGACGTCATCGGGTAGATTTCAATGGTAATGTTTATTACCTCTACTAATTAACATGACGTAAATTTTTATGCTTCCTCCTCAAACATAATTCATTTTTTAAATTTGTTGATTTCTTTGTGTGTGTATATCACACAGAATATCCCAAACCATCTTATTCGACTATCCACCCACTTCCCAGATGTCACCCTCCCATAGCCTCCCTGCTACTGTCTACTCTGTCAGCACCCCCAGCTGTTCCCCACTACTTGTCCATCTGGTGAATCTAGTCAGCCTATCTAGAGGTCTTTATTTTAGGAAGTCAGCTGTTCCTCATCTAGCAGCAATCAGTTGTCAGTATTCCTTTAGATAAGATTGGGGTCTGCTGTTCATTTTCCCAGTTCTATGCTGGGTTACTATCTGGGAGTCCCTTTGCCACCCTGGCCAACAACTCAGAAGACGGTATCTCCTATCTGGCATTGTTGCTTGTTATGTAGCCTTTAGCTATACATACGGACTCTTAAAAAATTATATTGGCCCCTGTAATCTTTGGTTATACTTTCCTTTTGGATGTTTAAGGTCATACAATTGGCCCAGATCCAATTTATTTTTACCCTTAAGGCCATTTGAGGATCTGTTCCTCAGGGGTCACATGGGCTTGGGAGGATCCCCTGGCTCCTTTCTTTTACCATTTCTGCCTATTTGAAGATAAGTCAAATGTCCTACTTGACCATGGCTGGCTTCACTTGGAAGCATGGAGGAAATGTTTCCTCTGTGTTGACCCTCCTCTTTGTAGACTGAACACTGGTTCAAGTCCATCTCGTGGGGTCTCCTGAGCCTCGTTGGCAAAATAAAGCATATTGTAGTGGAAGATGATCTTATTGGTGGAAATTCTTTCATGTTAAAGGACATAAGCTCACTTTTATCCTTTATAGATTAGTCAGAGGCTGTTTCTTTCTGAGATTAGAGTTAAAACTGTAATCAAAAGAAATATCTTAGCTAGCCAGGCATGTTGGTACACCCTCATTTGAAGGTAGAGACATTGATAAGGTGAAGATGCATTTAGCAAACATACAAATTGTATTGTGCATTGTTTGGCATTGTATTTTATTGTATGCAAAGGCAATGCATGTCGTAAATCTTTAAAAACTATGAAACCATAACTTAGTCTCCACCTTGATAATAAGTCAAATAGCTAAGTTGTATAGCTATATTTTTTCTTACATAGGCACAAAATTTTGATGTCACTCTTAACCCAAATCTTGCTACAGTAAACCATGGGAATTGTCCAAATATGTCCAGCACCAAAACTCCCTAAATTAAATATAACTTTAAAGAAGCAGATCAGCAACAAAGGCATAAAATAGCTTTTTACATGTTCTTATTTAATATACCCTTATGATTTAATTTTAATCTTACCTGTGGTAGCATAAGCTTATGCACACATCTGTACTGTGAAAATTAAAAGGGCACAATAAACCATATGGAGCCCAAATACACAGAAACTTCTTTCCAATCTTTGCAAAAAAGTTTAAAACCACATTTTAATTATTTAATGTGTTGTGTGTGTGTGTGTGTGTGTGTGTGTGTATGCACACACATGTGCTACAGTACATGTGTGGAGGTCAGAGGACAACTTGCAGGAGTCAGTTCTCTCCTCCCACCATGTGAGACCTAGAGATTGAACTCAGGTCATCAGACTGCAGGAACCTCTTTATCCATGAACCACCTCACCATCTCCTCATGCTTTTTAAAAAAATGGTAACTTTGTTCTTTATATTAGATTCTTTCCAGTTTCCACAACATGATGTTTGAGATTGTATTCAGAATGCTAATGAACACTTGATTCCTGTCAACTAAACATTTTTAAAAAACCATAGGAACTCCAGGAGGCAATGTTGGTCCATCCAAAAAACACAGAGGAATTACCTGTGTTGCACAGTTCAAGCGTGGCTGAACGCTCAAGAGCAAATATTTTCCTATCTTGTAATTTTTCCTTTGTTTTCTTTTCCAGTTTGGAAGTGAATTATTCCTTCCACTAGTTATTAAATTGTAGAATTAGATGAACTTGTGTCTCTGACTCCAGAGGAAATGAAGAGGACTGCCTCAAAGAGCCAGAGGGGCCATCAAAGCTTCTGCAGCCCAAATCTTTCTCACACTTGTTTATTTTGAAATAATATTTTGGAGAAAGTTTTCTTGTTATTAAAGATTTCTTTTAGAAGCCTGGCATGGTGGTGCATGCCTGTAGTCTAAGCACTTGGGAGGCAGAAGTAGGTAGATCTCTGTGAGTTCAAGGCCAGACTGGTCTACATAGTGAGTTACAGTCTACCTGGGACTACAGGGAGACCCTGTTTCAAAAAAAAAAAAAAAACGGAAAAAAAGAGATTTGTTTTAGAAGTTCTAGTACCTTTCGGTATTTTTTGTATAAATTTCTGACATCTGTTTTGAATAATTTTATAAAATAAATACTCTGAATTACTCTATAGAATTAAGTAGAATATTGAGTAGGTAAATAGGAATAAAAAATACATATCTTGGCCCAACAAGATAGCTCAGCAGTCAAAGTCCCCAGTTGCCATTTCTGAGCTCTAGCCCATGACCCACATTGTGAAATGAGAGAGTCGATGCTATAAAGTTGTCCTCTTCCCTCCACATGCAATTGGTGGCATGCATGTACCCACACACATACATACACACACAAAATAAGTAAGCAAAATGTAATAAAATTTAAAACTTATATAAAAGGCCTATATAATCACAAAAGGAAAATGTAAGTCTTGTCTCCCATTGTGTTTTGGCTGCAGCTGGCTCTAAACTGAATGTTGTCTCTTTGGTCACAGAGCTTCGTCCCTCTTCCATGGAATGATTCTATCAACATTCCCTGCTTTTTATTTTTAATCTGAGATATTCCTACCCAATGTTAGGCCTGAATGTGCATACAGAGTGGGAGCTGGGCAAAGCGACAATTAAGTGCACCTTTCATTTTTCAACATGTGCCTGTGTTTGTTGAGAAGTTCATACTCAGAGTGATTCTAATGGGTTTCATGTCTCTCTTTTTAGCAATTAGTGTTCTGTATCCACTACACAAACTCATTAGGAACGAGGATCTTCCTTACACTCTAAAAAATCACTCAATCTGGACAAACTTCCCAATCCTGTGACATTAGATAATAAACAACAAAACAGTAACATATATATTTATAACAACTACATCTCTGTAGAACATAGAAACTCATTGTTTACAAAGCATTCTTAGCTCAATTTGGTATTATCTAACTTCTGCTATGCAGTAAGTATTTTATGTTTCTCATCATTTTTTTCCTTCTGTTTAATTTACGATTCGTTCCAATGTAATTCTTCCTACTATAGGTCTCTTGGTATTCCTGACTTGGAGAAGAAAAATGAAACCCACTCTGAGTTGTCAGAATTCGTGCTTCTGGGCTTGTCATCCACCTGGGAGCTACAGCTAGTCCTCTTCTTAACATTTCTGTTTGTTCATGTTATTATTGTCCTGGGAAACCTCTTGACTGTGAAAACGGTGTGGGCTGATGTTCATCTGCTCTAGTCTCCCATGTACTACTTCCTAAGCTACCTCTCTTTAATTGACCTTTGCCTGAGCTGTGTTGCTATACCCAAGATGCTAGGAGATTTCCTACAGCAGGAAAAGACCATATCTTTTTCAGGATGCCTGGCTCAGATCTATTTCCTCCACTTTCTGGGAGCCAGTGAGATGTTTCTCCTGGCCGTCACGGCCTATGATAGATAGGCATGTTGCCATATGCAATCCTTTGCACTACTTGACAGTCATGAACCACCGTCTGTGTCTGCAGTTGGTGTTTGCTTGCTGTGGTGATTTCATCCACTCAATCACCCAGGTCATACTGGTGATCCAGGTGCCTTTCTGTGGCCCCAAAGAACTGGACAACTTCTATTGTGATGTTCCCCAGGTCATCAAGTTGGGCTGCATGGACAGTTACATGGTTGAGGTGCTGATGGTCTCCAATAGTGGGTTGTTGTCTCTGCTCTGCTTTTTGGTCCTGCTCTTCTCCTATGCACTCATCCTGATCATCGTGAGGACTCGCCTCCACTGGGGCCAGAGCAAGGCACTGTCCACCTGTGCCTCCCATCTGACAGTGGTCAGCTTGATCTTTGTGCCCTGTATGTTCATCTACTTGAGGACATTCTGAAGCTCCTCTGTAGATAAGGTGTTCTCTGTGTTTTACACAGTGATCACATCTATGCTGAAGCCCCCATCTACATACTCAGAAATGCAGATACAAAGAGAGCTATGAAAAAGAAGAGAAGGAAGCAGGTGATACCCCACAGCCTTGTTAGCAGGTGAGCAGGCAAAGGGCACTTAGAAAACAAAACCCTTCCTTCACATGTTCTCACCTGAACCTACACATGGGTGAAAGCTACTGTAGCAGAGACCGTGGTATCAAAGATCAGACAGCGTAAAAATTATAAAGCATCACTTTTGATAATAATTTGGGGACATAGGCAGCTTTCTTGGGTGCTAATATTAGGCTGGAACTTGGCTGCATTTACTGGCTGACAAATGGTAAGAATTTGTAGCATGACAGGGCCAGGGGATATCTTGAAAGATAAGCTGCTCTTGTCTTCATACAGCAAATCTTCATACATTGAATTCCTTTTAATGCTTAACTCTGTTCAAGTGAAAGAAGACCTTACACTTTCTTTTGTGTTGGCCCCTCCTAATGGCTCCCAGTGTGTGGAAGAGCCTTCTAATGATGCTTCAACGCAGTCTCTTTTTGAAGCAGTGTAGTCTCCTCTTATCCTGCCCCCATCAAAGACTGAAAACACTAAACTCTGTATACACTAGTGTTCAGTTGGGAATTGCGATCCATACAGTGCCAAATCTTACAAACACAAGTGAGTGGAGTGAACAGTTTAAATGTGGGAAGAAGGAACCATGAGTGGTACTAGCATTTTGTTGTAGAGGTATTCTGGAAGAGGGAGGAGGCATCCCCTTCTAGAATGAGGGCAAGTGGATAAGCTTCACCTAATCATAATGTGTAAGAGTGTTTAACTCTAAAGAAAAGAAAATAGAAAAAGAAAAGAAGGAAAAGGAATAGGCTGTGGTTTAAAATGCCGTCTGTATCTTTGATGTGCTCATTGATGTAAATGTGCTTGGAGGAGCAGGCAATACCATTTAACTCCATTTCTTAGTAATGAACTCAAGGCTGTTAAGAAACTGGGTTGAAATCACTTATTAAAAACATAATAAACCAAGAAATCTAATTTCTCTTTGTAGAAAGAAGTATATGTCCAAATTATATGAACATATTGCTTAATTTCTATTGTATCTGTTTAGGTTCAAGTCTATGAGAGCCCTCTAATTATTCATTCAGCACTTATATTTGAGTTTATATAGTTCTTTTAAAAGCTTATTATTTTCACTGTTATTGTGCTGTGTGTGTGTGTGTGTGTGTGTGTGTGTGTGTGTGTGTGTGTACACAATGTGAGAGTGAAGATGTATGTGCTTCACAGTTTGCGTGTGCATGTCAGAGGATAACTTTCAAGAGTAGAGTGCCTCCTTCCATGGTGGATTCTGGGAACTGAACTCAGGTCTTCTGGCTTTTCCCATTGAGTCATCTCACTGGTCCAATTTGTATAGTTCTGACATGAAAATCCTTTCAACCTTTTCTGCTTATGGGAGGTTATTTATACTCTAATAAGATAATGATAAGCTTTTTAGCAATATTTTTATATTTGATGACTTTAAACACAGTATTTATGAAGGGGCTTATGATTAATTGGGTTTTTGTGATTACATATCACAGGAAAATCTGTCTGAAACTAAAATTTCTAGATTTACAAGCAATTAATACTTTACAATGTTCTTGGCCATGTCAAAAAGAACTTTATGTTGGAAAGTGTATTTTTAATTTTTGTCCCTAGACTTTATATTTTAAGAAGCATTCCTGTGGAAAGATTTTTCATAGAAAGGAGCAAGTTCGCCACTGAGAAGAGTTCTGAGTAGGATGGCTGAGGCAGGACAGCAGCATCTCTAGTGCAGACACTCCTGCCTCCCTATGCTGTACCCTACTTAATGTTTCCACAGAAGTCCTCAGTTCCCTCTGAATATCCTGGAGTGTAGGATAATATAGTGATGAGACTCCAAGTTACAAAAAATTGCCTACCAGAGAGTAGTGTCATATGACAGAAAGATTCAAATAGTGGTGTATATCAGCTAGCGATATTGCAGAAACATGAAGCTCCAGGATTCGGGATCATGGTGGCTGCGGCCAACCCTTCTGTGGTGTCCCTTTTTCTTTATATAATCTGGTAGCGGGCATTGACAGTGTTATTTTCTCAAAGCAAGAACTTTACGCATTCCCTTTTTGTTTTATTTCTCTAATACTTCCTTAACTATTTACCTATACTAAAATTATTTTTATTAGTAAGCCAATAGAGTTTCAAGTTGTTAAACTTGTACATGATTGATGTTATCTGCGGGTCCCATGCTGTAGAGTTCTCTGCTCAGGTACTGTGGTTCCATTTCCAGAACTGAGCTTCTTATCTGGGTCTCTTCTCCTGAGCTGAAGTCACCACTATGTTCACCACTGGTGTGAATACCACTAGCTAGGTGGTGGAGAGAACTGTATCTAAAGTATGTGGCAGAGCCTGGTCATACCACTTTCATTCTTTACAATCATATATGAGTGGCCAATGTAGTAAGGCTTTGTCTAGGAGAAATAGTAGCCTGGAAGCTGAGGACCGAAGTTCTGCACTGTCCACGCTTTTAGATAACTCTTTTGTCCCTTAAAGACTATGGCACTTGGCACACAAACGGTTAAAAAACTTTTTTAGATTCAGTCTACATAAAGGAATGCCTATACCTGCTGCCTCCCAATACTGGGAACATGCTGGAAAGACAGTATGCAGCCATCATAGGCTCAGGCTAACAACTCCCATTTTCTGTAAGTATGCTTCAAAAGATGCCCCAAGGAAGACTGTCATGTACTTTTAACTTTGAGAAACTCACTGCAACACTGAGGAAGTCTAGCTGCTTCCTAACTAACTCATTAACGAAATTCCTGCTTTTGCATTGCTTAAGCATTAATCATGTGAGTTTAGTATGAATTCTTTACACTGAGCTATCGTAATAAAAGCCTTCCAGAGAACCATAATAGATACCCCTGAGTGAACTGTCTGGACTCTCCTGGTCTCACATTCAGTTTCTCAGCACCAGTTACTTCCTGGATGGCACAACACTGCCAAGTTCTAATGCAGAATTTCAAAACTTCTGAGAGATTTTAATAGGAAACTAGTCCTGGAAGAGACTAGACATGAGAAGATATATTTGAATGTTGTTCACTTGAATTAGAGCTTTAAGACACGCTCATTCAGTGTCAATTTCTACTCTGTGCTGGGCCCTGTAGCTATTTGTGGGAGGACCAGAGTCAATTTTTCCAGCTCTTAAAAGAGGCAAAGACACCCCTGATTCATGATGTAATGAGAAAAATGTTGACTTTGTAATTCCATCATCCATAATGGGAACCAAGGTTATACAAACTCATAAATGAGCTTAAAAGGAATTACTACCTCCATATTGTCTTAGAAAAGATTAACCGCTCTCTGTGAGTTCAAGGCCAGCCTGGTCTACATAGTGAGTTCCAGGACAGCTGGGGCTACAGGGAGACCCTGTCTCAAAAAGAAAAAAACAAAAACAAAAACAAACATACAAACAAAAAAAGATCAACCTCTTAGAGCCATAGAGACTAGAAGAAACTTTGGGGAAAAGTCAATATAGCATTACAAAAATAACTCCCAATGTAGAGAAAACATTTTCTGGGAAATGTTCCTCTAATATGAAACTCTTAGTGATATTTGCATATCTTAATAGTTCATAATTAATTCATTGACCAATTATGACCAATCCATTAATTCTATAACTGTTTCTTCTGTTGTGTTCATGTGCCTGAAATGTCGTAAACACCCTCTCATTTGTTCCTTTCATCAAGCATCAATGTATCGCTCAATATCCAACAGAAGTATGTGAATAGCCATGGTTGGGGGACATAAAGCATCATAACTCAGCTTTCCCCTCACCAGAGGTATATGGCCTAATCTCTTGGCACTGCTGTGTGAGTACAATGTAGACAGTAATAATGTGTACCTTGTGGGGTCTTAGAAAACAAGAAGTTATGTAAGTTATGGCTATAACTCAATAGTTCCAAATGTATGTAAGTTATGTAAGTTATGGATAGAACTCAATAGTCTCAAATGATTATGTTACTATTACTAATTGTTCAAGTAAACTGAAAGGGAAACAAAGCTGAGGGACACGCACAATGGTTTGATCCAAGAGACTCACAGGACAAAAAGCTGAACTTGACTCAAGACTGTTTCCATGTCACAGCAAAATCCCGTCAGGGAGATGAGGCTCACAAATGAAAAGACAAAGGGTGATATGTGTGACCTCAGTGTTTTGTAAAAACTTCAGAGTGGTTTTTAGAATGTTCTGTTTAGGGGCTAGAGAAATTGCTCAGTGGTTAAGAACGCTTGCAGCACTTTGCAGAGCACCCAGCTTGCCCAATGGTTCACAGCCACTTGTAACTGAAGCTCCAGAGGATCCAACACCCTCTTCTAGAAACTGGGGGACTGCACTGACATACACAGTCACAGACATATACACAGACACAGACGACAGAACCCCCCACACAGACACACACACACAATTAAAAATTAAAGAAAATATTTTAAATGCTCTATTTAAGAACCTCTGTTTAAGGCTCTTATACAATCATTTTTAAACAATAAAAAGCTATAATTGTTTAGATTTACAAAACTCAGCCATTTCTGTCATCTTACTATGACCGCTTTGCCATACCTACTGAAGCAACACTGTTACATTAATTAAAATCTTCCCTTCGTTCAGACTTCATTAAAATTTTCCTTAATGGGTAGGCTTTCTCAAGTCCACTTCTGATGTGTGTTTGTACTGTTTAATGAAGCATGTAATACTATCCTTCATCTCAAAAGACATTCGAGTTGTTTCTATCCACTCTCCTTGGGCCTTAGGCCTGTCCCATTGAGGATGCCTGAGAGTGTCTGACTAGGTGGCATGAGTTGTCCAACTCATATCTCACCCATTCCTCCACTTTGGGACCATTTCTAGTCCCTCCCACTGCACCAGAGCTCAGGCCTTCTTTGCTCAATAGTAGGGACAGGCCAATTCTGTTTCTATCTGCTATCCTTGGGCCTTGGCCCTGTCCCATTAAAACTGCCTAAAAGTGGCTGACTAGTCCAGGCCCCTTTACCCTCCTGGGGAGCTTCTGACTAGCCTGCCTGGATCCATCCAGTTTCTCCAAGAAAAAAATCAAAAGGGGGAACCTGAATTCCGAACCAACTAACTGCAATTCATATAAAATCAGAAAGAAACCAAGCCACATCACAATTTAAACAGAATCAAGCTTCAACTCAACAAAGGCCGGCTTGAGTTTCATACCAGTAACACAGGCAACAAAAGAAATCCACATATCCAAAATACAATGAAAAAGATACAAATAATATGAAAAACCAAAACACTATTTACCCAACAAAGCTCACCAGTTCTATCATGAGAACTGTAGAGGTGTTCTACAATGAGAACTACCTAGAGGAACCCTAGGTCACAGAAATTAAAAGACTAATCATAAACATGATCAAAGACTTCAGCGAATTTAAAGAACACACAGACAACTCAAAGAACTAAAAGAATATAGGGATAAACTTCTAACAAGTTGAATTCAGACAGCTGAATTAAATGACATCTTACAT